GGGGAGAGGGCGGGGCCTGCGCCAGGAGGAGGCGGGGTTAGGAAAGTGGTCACCTGTGTGGCCGGGCCGGGGGCGGGACCTGATCCCTAGGGGCGGAGCTACAACTAAAGTGGCGCTAGGATCAGGCAAGGCTAGGATCTGGGCCTGGAATCCGGCCAGGACCTGAGGCCAGAGGGAGAGGCTACAGCTAGAACTACAGCTGGAAGCAGGGGCGTGGAGGTTCCTCGAGTCCGGAGGAAATAGGGAACGCTGGTTTAGGGTGGAGGCATGGCCGGGAGCAGGTCTAGAAAGCGGTTCTTGAACCATTAAGTTTGTTCCGCATCAGGGGCGGAACTAGCTGGACCGTTGTGGAGTCAGGCTCTGAGCCTTAGTGTAGGGTTAGGTCTGAGGATGAAGACTGAGATAGGGCGTGAGCATTGGGAAGAGCAGGGCAATTCAAGGTGTGGGGTACTCGCCGACTGTACTAAGTGGTGGGTGGCATCTTTTAGTTATGTGTCTAGAAGCATGTCATGAGGGCATACCTAGACCTGGTAGTGGGGGTGAGTCGAGGGATAAGGCAAAGATTAAGGTCTATTTTTTGGGGGGGGTTGGTTTTTTTGTTTTTTGAGACAGGGTTTCTCTGTGTAGCTTTGGAACCCATCCTGAATTCACAGAGATCTGCCTGCCTCTGCCTGGGATTAAAGGCGTGTGCCACCAACGCCCGGCCTGATTAAGGTCTATCTTTGACTGAACTGTAAAATGGAAATCATCAATTAAGTCTGACTTACTTCCAGTTACTGATGGCCTGATATGCCAGCACTTTGCATTTCTTTTACAAACAGTATTTTTTTAACAAGAGGTATTGCCAATTGTCCTGTTGCATTGTGGCAAGTGACTTTGAGTAATTTTTTTTTCTTCTTTTGGGGCGTGAGGAGGGGGATGGCCCTGACTTGTAAATGTAGCCCAGGGTGGCCTCAACTTCTGGCCTTCCTATCTCCATTTTCCAAGTGCTGGGATTATTGGCATGTGCCACTATGCTTTGAATACACTTTCTAAAATGACAATACTCCCATCCCTTGATGTAGTTGCCATCCTGATTTATGGAGGGCACATATTCAAAAAAGGTGAGATGACTTACTCAAAGTCACACTGCTGGTAAAGGCAGTGCCCAAAGCCCAAAGCCCGCCCTCTCAAAGCCTGTGCCCTCTGCTAGAGAATTCATCACATCTACTGTTTTAGTTAGCCACAGTGGGGTTATCACTGGATACGTGGGAGTTCTTCGGCCTTTTAAACTCTTAAAAGAGCACATTGACCTCTCTTTCTACTCACAAAATCTTCTAGTCAAGGTCACCCAGACAAAACCAATAGGATGCGTATATTTAGAGATTGGGACTTATTCTGAGCACTTGGCTCATGCTGGGCTGGCAGGCCCAGAGAAGAGCTGGCTGTGCAGTTCAAGTCTTTAGGTTGTCAGCTGCCAGAACTCAGCCTTCTGGGAGGCCAGCCTTTTTCCTGGGGTTTAAAACCACTTGCTGAGTGAGTGTAGCCCCTGCATTTTACAGAGTCGGGCTGAGGGGTCAAAGACATGGATCAAAGAAAGACCTAGCAAGCATTTCCTCTACTTCCTGTTCCTAATACTGGGACCCCATTCCTGTGTCTTACATAACTACATAGTGAGACCCTGGCCCAAGCAAGCAAACAAACAAATAGAAAAAGATATGAATACAGGTGACAGACAGGTAAGAGTATGTGACGATTTTCAACACCTCTGGCCATTTGATAAGTGCACATTAAAATGAGAGAGGTATCCGTGCACACTTACTATAATGATTAAGATAAAAACAAGGACAATAGCAGATGCCGGTGAAGGTGGGGAAATGGGATCTCATGCCGTCACAAATGCAAGTGATACAAAATTAAATTTGTATTTACCACACCAGCCTGTCATTGCAGTCATCAGCATCTACTTCGGGAAACAGAAGCATTCATCCAAAAACCTGAGTGCTGCAGTAACTATGGAAAACAGTAGCCCTAACCCTCAAAAGAGCTCAAAACAGAATCACTGTCTAGTATCCATGGATACTTGACTAGTGGACAGAATGCATAGACTTTTATGCATGTAAGCTCTAGGCAGCTTATTTACAGTAGCCAAGGGGTAGTAGAAGTGACCCTGTGTCCATCAGTGGTGTATATTATTCCACCTTTGAAAAGGAAGGGCATTCTGTAACCTGCTGCAAATGGATAAACCTTGAAGACAGTTGGTGCTACCACTGTATAGGTATTGCCATTGGGAAAGCTGGGGAAAGGGTACAGGGACATTTTGCGCCATTTTTACAACTTCCTGTGAGAGTAATTACTTCAAAATAAAAAGTTAAAAAGTATCTTGTGCTCAAACCCCTGGCTGGTGCAGATTGCTCTGTAGATATCTCTCCCGACCCTGGGGCTTATGAAGCCCATGACAAGGGAACACGCATTTCCAGGTATTAATCAGTAGGAAGCATCAGTTCAAGGTATAGTAGCTTCTAGGGACCCCGTGCCTTGGGAACTGCAGAAGGCATGTGTGACAGACTGGTCCCCAGGGCTAGTTATGGAGGAAGGATGACCTAAGCTGGGCTTAAGAAATAGGGGTGAGCCAGGCACAGCAAGAATGCAGTTGGGGGCCTGGGGGAGAGTTCATGAAGGAACTCAGGGAGAGGCAGCTTCGGGTAAGTACAGAGAGATAGGTAGGGCTGGGTGTAGCTCAGTGACAGAGCACTTGCCTAGTGCAGGGAAGGTCCCAGCACCCCAGAAATAAACAAGTGTAGGCATGTACAGCCTGGCCTGGCAAAACTCCAGGACAAGCCACAGTTGTCCCTTGGTGTCTACAGGGAATGGGTTCTAGGTCCCATTGAGATACCAAAATCCACAGATACCAGTTCACATCCCAGCAATAATGATGGTTTTGAATGGACTTGTGTACACTTCCTTCAAGCTGCAGATTATCTCTAGATAATTTACAGTGCCAGGCATGCTACAAAGACCTGAACAAATGCCATGGGAAGAACTGATCACTGGGGTGTTCATGGAGTAATGGCAAGAAAAATGTACATAGGATTTACTTGTTTTGGGTGGTTTGGGGGGTTTCTCTGTGTAGCTTTGGAGCCTGTCCTGGAACTCTCTCTGTAGATCAGGCTGGACTCGAACTCACGGAGATCCGTCTGCCTCTGCCTCCCAAGTGCTGGGATTAAAGGTATGTGGCACCACCTCTGGGCTGCAGTTGCTATTTTTAAAAACTGTTTTCCATCTGCAGTTGGTTTAAGCCACAGGTACAGGGCCTGCATTGGGCTGTCTCTGATCACAGTGAAGGGGTGTGTGAGAAAGGCTGTCTTAGACAATGAGACAAAAGCAGGCTAGCCTGTACCCAGGACAAGCCCACACTTAAAGTCAAGATGGCAGTCTCAGTTGAGGACCCTGCCTCACCGTGCCTCTCCCCCTCCTGTGTTTGCTTTGTGGTAGCCTTACTAGAGCCCCTGGATCACAGCCCATTATTTTTCCTCACAGGCAATTTTTACACAGAAGAACAAGCTGGTGTCTGACCCACTGGACACGAGGCACTGGCAAGGCTTCCGTCTGGAGGATTACCTGATAGGACAGTCCATTGGCAAGGGCTGCAGCGCTGCTGTGTATGAAGCCACCATGCCCACTTTGCCCCAGCACCTAGAGAAGGCCAAGTGTGTTAGCCTTCTAAAAAAAGGCCCGGATGTCCTCCCAAAGGGAGCAGATAGGGAGCAGGCCCCGAGAGCCCCAGCCTTTCCCTTTGCCATCAAGATGATGTGGAATATCTCGGTAAGGATGGGCACATCTCACAGCGTCAGTCTTCAGGGACAGGGACGGGGTGGGGGAGATTTTCACAGGCTTTCTTCAAGAAGGGCCTGTGGAGTTAGGTGTCTGATCTCTTACATAAGAGTTGGAGCTATCAGTCTCAGATTGCAACAAGTCCACCATCCACCAGGGGCTCAGGCCCCACGACACATTTGGCTTCTGTCGGTTAGGTTGGGGCTTGAGAGTGATTTTCTTCCAGGTTCTGCTGGCTCCCAGGCTTCTGGTCTGTGAACCACTCTGAGTGGCAAATGCCTATGTCACAGGTTTCTGAGCTGATGGTTATTTCATTTGAAGTCAGCCATATAACCATTCTCCCCTCATGCCTCCTTCTGTGACTGATGTCCCTAGCCAGAAGGAGCCATGTTCTTTCCCATAGCCCAACAACCTGATCCAAGGCTTACTGCCACCTTCCTGTGGCCAGTTTGAGCTGGTGGTGACCAGAGATGTCCCTGATGGAAAGCATCTTGGGCTCTGAAATCTTGGCCTCTGTTCCTGATCAGGGCCATTTGAATAATACACCAAGGGTTCGAGGTGTGGGAAGCATGCTCCAAGTAGCACCTCCCTCCAGGCTCCAGGAGGAACTGGTTTTGGCTAGCTGCTTTAGAGAGGTTATTTTTCCTTGGCTGTCAAAGCCAGTTCTAGGTTGTAAATGCCTTGGTTCAGATCCCAAGCAGGGCGTGGACTTGGCATTCCACTCAGGTCTGTGGAATCATGGGTGCACTGTGTGTATGTTCTAGGCAGGTTCCTCCAGTGAAGCCATCTTAAGCAGAATGAGCCAGGAGCTGGTCCCAGCAAGCCGGGTGGCCTTGGATGGAGAGTATGGAGGCGTTACTTACAGGTAAGCACTCCTTTGCACACCAGAGCAATCACGGGCTGTCTGAGAACAAATGCATCACTTGTATCTCCGGCACTCAGCACCACGTCTGATGTGCCACATAGTAGATGGTTATTGAATGATGTCCTAGAAAGATTTTAAGATTTTCAATTTATGGATAAATTAAGCTTGAGAAAGACTGAAGATCATCTCATCCCAGCTAATGATGAGGATGGTTGAGCAGGAGTGAAGACCATTCATATAGGCCCAGTTCAGAATGCTAGATAATGTCCTACCTAATTCCTGCAGAGAGAGAGAGAGAGAGAGAGAGAGAGAGAGAGAGAGAGAGAGAGAGTGTGTGTGTGTGTGTGTGTGTGTGTGTGTGTGTGTGTGTGTAGCGCCACCTACTGGTACACGTGCGCTGTCTCCACAGGTGGAAACACTTGGCCACAGTCCTGATGATAGCAGACCCCGATCTGAAACAGCCCTGACCTCCCTCTGGTTGTTCCCATGGCTTTCATAGTCATCTGGCCATCAGTCCTATTTGCTCAGGTGTCTCTGGTTATACAATTACAGTTGACTCTGCATTCTAGCCCGGGTGTCTATGCCAAGGACACCAGCTGAAGTGCTGCTGGGTCTCCAGAGAAAGTCCCCCTGGAGCACTCGGGGGCCACGGACACTTGGCCTTCATCCAGGGACCTCAGACTCAGCTCCTTGCTGCTTCCCCCACCTCAGTTCTCGTCCCTGCACGTTCACACCCTCCCCCCTTGTGAGTTCCACACTGCCGTCCCCAGAAGTATGAGCTCTGTCTGCACACTGCAGACAGACCTAGTTCAGACACCCTGCCCGGCTCCCACACTGCCTTAGAACTCTTACAACACCTCCCAGGGCACTGCCAGCCTCCTGCTGAGGTCCTGACTCTCCCTGTCACCAGTGACCCAGGAGCAAGAGCAGCGCTGCATAATACTGGGGACTACTTGTGTGACACAGAGGGGCAGGACAAGGACACATGTGGATTTTCCACAAAGTTCCAGGACAATGCCAGCACCCTGCATTCGGCTTATCTCTGGGTCCTCTTCTGTTCTCCTAGACACCCTCAGCGCTGGTGTTTCTTCACTGTGGCTCCTCTGTTCCTGCAGCCCTTTGCTTCCTGTGGCCTTCCCTGTGTCCCCTAAGAGAAGTGACCAACGTGCCTGTTCCTTTTCCCACCAGCTATTGGGATCTTAGATGAACCCATGAGCTTTTGGCTCCAAATGCCCAGTCTGGGCCCAGTCAGCTTTGGCTTGAGGGGCAGAGCCGGCACACGGGAAGCAGAGCCACCCTGTTCACAGTGTTTAACTATGTCTCTGTGGGACCATGGCTGGGGGGCATCCTGTAGGAGTGGAAAGGGCCACCAGGTGGCACCACTATGGCAGACTGCATCTGTGTTGGGGCGTCATTTGGTAAAGGGGATGCTAGTCCCTGTCTGTGGTCAGAGAGATGATTTGGGCTGGGGTCCCTGTCCTCGGAGAGCTAAAAGAATTCCTCCTGTGGTCCATCTCAAAGTGGTGACTTCAGAGACTGCTCTGTGCACAGGTCCCAGCATCAAGGCTATCGCCAGCAAATGCTAGTTAAGCGACCGATAGTGAGCATGAACTCTGCAGAGTGTGCACTCTGCTGAGCACCACTGGAGTGCTGGATGCATTTTAACCCCTTGTGCGTTACCATCTTACCCCCCATCCCCCACTCCGCCCTCAGCCCAGGGGCATGAGTGACACAGCCACGGACTGAGTGTGGCAGCTTCCAGGGTCTCTTAGCCACTGTGTTCTGCCATGTGGGATGAAGATGAGCCAAAGGGTGGACTAGAGGAGCCATTGAATGTGAGGAGTCACCCCTGTTGTGTTTTTGCCCCACGGCGCATGCTGTACCTGGAACAGGGCAAACGTGCAATGATTAGTAGCTATGCCTTTGTGGTGGCCTTCGCTTGTCTCCCCGCACCTGTCTCTGATGCTGGCCTCATCTGCTCTCCATTTGCTCTCCCATTTGCCTGAACAGAAGACCCAGAGGCGGTCCCAAGCAGCTTGCCCCACACCCCAACATCATCCGGGTTTTCCGCGCCTTCACTTCATCTGTGCCCCTGCTGCCCGGGGCCCTGGCTGACTATCCTGATGTGCTGCCACCCAGCTTCCACCCAGAAGGCCTGGGCCACAGTCGCACACTGTTCCTCGTCATGAAGAAGTAAGCCATGGTGTGTGCAGAGTGGGAGGTAGGGACCCTGAAGCAGCTTCTTCTTTCCCATGGGAGCTGGTCCCTGTCCTTGGAGCATAGGGCTTCTGGGGAAAACAAAGCATGCAGAGGTGAGGGCTGTGTGTAGGGGAGAGCTGTTGGAATGATGCAAACATCCCATCTTCCAGAATATACTTCCTGCCTGTGCCCTTGGCACATTCATAGCTCCCGTCTCTATGGTGTCCTGTTTCTGTGCCACCCCACTGCGGGGATGGATCTGAGGAGCTGGGGGCGGCACTGTCACAGCTTTCAGTTTCAGTATGGGTGGGGTTTGAAAGGATGCTGAAGAAGAAAGAGAGCAGAAGCTCCGGAAGAAGAAAGGAGCGGCCCTACAAGCGAATGAGGCCGTGAGAATTGTGATGCCTAGACATTCTGTCCTCCCCTGCCAGCTACCCCTGTACCCTGCGTCAGTACCTTCAGGAGCACACTCCCAGTCCCCGCCTGGCTACCATGATGACCTTGCAGTTACTGGAGGGCGTGGACCACCTGGTTCAGCAGGGCATTGCCCATCGGGACCTCAAATCTGACAACATACTCGTGGAACTGGACTCAGGTAGGTGCTGACTGCACCTGAGTGCTCCAGGGAGAAGTTGGGGAAGGGGAATGGAGCCCCTGAGGTCAGGGTGTGTGTGTGTGTGTGTTTGTGTGTGTGTGTGTTGCACATGTGGGGGCCAGAGGTTGATGCCAGGCCTCCTCTTCCATCACTCTTCTTTATGACTTTAGACAGGGTCTTTCACTGAACCTGGAGCTCACTAAGTTACAGTGGCTGGTCGGTGAGCCCCTGGGATCTCTCTCCATCCCCCTAGTGCTGAAGTTATAGCTTTGACATGGGTGCTTGGGATGCTGACCATCCAAACTTAGGTCCTCACTACTGTAACCACTGAGCTATCTCCCCAGCTCCTGAATGCTCTATTCTGTCCTGTCTTCTTTAACTCTTTCAAGAGATGGCTCCCCTTATCTGGTGGGTGAGACAGGCAACAGTTCCCGGGATCCTCTCTGGCCCACGTGCAGAACAGTAACATTAGTATTGCAGTTCTTGTCGAATCAGTCAAAGGAAGGTAGATTCTAGCTCAGTGAAAGCTGCCTGCACAAGCCCGGCTTCCTCTGTCACTGGCAGCACTCAGGTAGAAGCCATCTGCCTGGGGACATTCTAAAGGAGTCACAGGACTGGGGAGCTCGGTGGTTAAGTGCTCTACTCTTCCCATGGTTCCCAGCATCCATGTGGAAGTTCACAATTGCCTGTGACTCCAGGTCCAGGAGATCTGATGACTTTTTCTGGCCTCTATGGGCACCGACACACACTTGATAGACACATACATGTAGATAAAAATAAAAATAAGTCTTTTTAAAAATTAAAATTATTCAATGTGTAACTAAAAAGCTTAAAGTGAACTGGCTTTTTCTTTTTTCTAATTTCTTTTTTTTCCATTTTTAAAATTTTTTTTGATTTCATTTTACATTCCAACCACAGTTCTCCCTCCCACCCCTGAACTGGCTCTTTCAAGGAACTATATGAACCCCTTTATCTCCCAAGACCCCTTTATTAGATTTATTGGCATCACAAATTCAAACCTAAGACTCATAGGGTGTATAGACCCTTTAAGGTCAGAGATCATTTAGCCAAGACTGGGGTCCTTTGGTCCCTGGGCATATCTAGTTAACTAGAACATTTTTCCCCCAACACACACACCCCTTTTCTAGTCCCCTGCCTGGGCCTGGGTTTCCGTCATTGTTTCTGGTGGCAGGTCCATGTACCTGTTGCCAGCCCTGCTGTGAGCCCACTCATAATGACTCCCATCACAGCCTTGTTGGCCTGGGCTCCTGGACACAGCCTATTAGTCCAGTTCATCCATGTCTTGGAGGTGGCTTTTGGAGGGACCTGTGAGGGACCGCAGGGGCAGAAGCAGACCCTGATGCTCAGCTCTGCTACCTCTGCAGACAGCTGTCCCTGGCTGGTGATCTCGGATTTCGGCTGCTGCCTGGCTGACGAGCACATCGGCCTGCAGTTGCCTTTCACTAGCTGGTATGTGGACCTCGGTGGCAACGGTTCCCTGATGGCCCCTGAGGTGAGTCCTGCTGTGTGCGTGCGTGCGTGTGTATGCATGCATGTGCGTGTGCGTGTGCGTGTGTGTGTGTTCTGCCATCAGCGGGTGTTTCCTTGGTTTTCCCAATAAACGAAGCTTCCCGCCCTGCTTTAACTAGGCTGAGGTCCCTGGACATTTGTCAGCATCAGCCAGGCAGCTGAGGCAGATCCATGTGCATTTAAATCCTAGGATCCCAGCTTAGGCCATGCATGGACACCAATGGTAGGCCTGCTGGGGCCTCATCTCTCTCTCTCTCTCTCTCTCTCTCTCTCTCTCTCTCTCTCCCCCTCTCTCTGTGTCTACTTCCTGCAGGTGTCCACAGCCCATCCTGGCCCCAGGACAGTAGTTGACTTCAGCAAGGCTGACACCTGGGCTGTGGGAGCCATCGCCTATGAAATCTTTGGACTTGCCAATCCCTTCTATGGCCAAGGCAGAGCCCACCTTGAGAGCCGAAGCTACCAGGAAGCTCAGCTGCCCGAGATGCCCAAGTCAGTGCCTCCAGATGCAAGACAGCTGGTGAGGTCACTGCTCCAGCGAGAGGCCAGCAAGGTGAGGCTGTTCCCTGGCTCTGGACTGTGTGGATGAGGACCCCTTGTTTGTGTCTGAGTCAAGGCCACGTTCACGCAAGCCCTATGGTGTTAAACCCTGTTACACACAGGCAAAGGTCGAGTAAAGAACACGACAGCTTTAAGAAGAAACAGGAGCAGCAAGCTGGCTGGCAAGCCCTTAATCAGAGTCCTAGGGCCCAGAGTCCTAGCAGTGCAGCTATTGGGGCCCCTTTCACTCCCTAGTCGCAGGGCTCAAACCCAGGGCCACATGAATGCTGGACAAGCACCATCCCCCATGCCTGCTCTCCTCCCCCTCCGGTCCTTTTGGCTTCGGTTTTGTAGGAAGTTGCTTAGGATGGGCTGGTGAGATGGCTCAGGTCAAGGTGCTTGGCACACCTGACACCCTGAGTTCAATCCCTGGAACCCACACAGAGAGAGCTGACCCCCAAGTTATTCTCTGACCTCCACACATGCTACACATACACAGCCATACACATCCAACAGTAATAATAATAAAGAAAACCCTAGGGCCAGCAGGATGGCTCACTGGGTAAGGGCACTTGCTGCCGCTGAGTCTAATGCCCTGAGTTTGATCCCCAGGACCCACATTGTAGAAGAGAACCAGCTCCTTCAGCCCCAGCCCCAATATATAAGCGCCAAAAAAATTAATTTTGTTTAAATAAGAGAATGGCTTAGAGAGAAAAGGGTGTGTTTTTTTGAGACGTGTAACAAAGATGCCACATGTGGAAGGGAACGCCGCTCTCAGACAAGCAGGAGCACTGAGGTCTATCTGCCTGAGTCATAATTGCAACAGCAGGCCCGGCTCAGGTGGCTCCTTAGAAAAACCCGGAGACAGACCTGGTCTCAGCCTGCCTCACTGCAGCATGCACACCCCTGACTGTTCACACCTTGATTGTTCACACCCCACTGTTCACAGCCCTTGCTGTTCACACCCCACTGTTCACAGCCCTCACTGTTTAAACCTGCCTCCTTAAGGCAGTTGCTCAGATAGTGTTAACTCAGCAACCACACCAGGTGAGGCCTCTTGTACCAGTGCTGGAACCCAGACATGTGGGTTCCCTCCATGACAAAGGTGTCCCGGCAGAGCTGACATGGGCAAGGGCCTGTGCTTGGTTAGGGAGCAGCTGTTGGACGGGTGGAGGAAGGATGGAATGGGGCCGGTCTGAAACCACACTCCCTCAGTGCACAGTTCAGACCAAGTGCTTGTTGTGAGCATTCTGACCACACCTTCCATTGCTTTGCAGAGACCTTCTGCACGTGTGGCTGCAAACGTGCTGCACTTAAGCCTCTGGGGCGAGCATCTTCTAGCCCTGAAGAATCTGAAACTGGACAAGATGATTGGCTGGCTCCTCCAGCAATCCGCAGCCACTCTGCTGGCTGACAGGCTGATGGAGAAGAGCAGTGTGGAAACAAAGCTGCAGATGCTGTTCCTGGCTAACCTGGAGTGGGAGGCGCTCTGCCAGGCAGCCCTCCTCCTCCGCTCCTGGAGGGCAGTCCCGTGATGGGTCTGTGCTGCTGTTACTAAAAGACTCTGTGTCATGGTGTCATGCTGGTGTGTGAAAGTCGAAGGAGGTGGCTTGGCTGGTGCATGGGAGTCAGGGGGTAAGTGGAGGGGCAGGTCAGCCAGAGGAAGCCTTAGGATCAGCAAATAGAAAGCGCCCTCGAACAGCTCAGGCTATGCATTCACTAGCTGTGTGGGTTTGCATAAATCCTACAGCCCATCCCACTTAAGTTCTCTCATAGCATTAAGACATCAGTCCAGATCCGGAGTTGGCAAGCTGCAGAGGGCAGACAGGAAATTTAGTAGTTACAATGACTCACCTGTCACCAAGGCAAAATTGCTGCAGCAGGATCAACACTGAAATTTGGTTGTCAGTAAATTCATTTTTTTTCCTCAACCACTTAGAAATGCAAAAAGCTGGCCAGGCAGTGGTGGCACACACCTTTAATCCCAGCACTTGGGAGGCTGAGACAGGTGGATCTCTGTAAATTTGAGGCCAGCCTGGTCTACAGTGTGAGTTCCAGGACTACACAGAGAAACCTTGCCTCAAAACCAAAAAAGAAATGCCAAAACCCATGTTTAGTTGTGACAGTGACAGAACAGATGCGTTCACAATGCCTAACTCTATAAAGGCTCACTGATCACTAAAGACTAATATTCATGCTAAAGACAGTGTGAGCCTGAGCCCTGTGCACACACTGGAATAGTGTGTTCTCCCTACCAGCAGTGCCACTGCTGACCAGAAAGTACCCCCGCCCTAATTGTCCTCATTACAGGAATGGCTGTGCTGTCAGACAAGGATGGGCATGAATGGCTGTGCTGTTGGACATGGGTGGCTGAAGGGGGTCAGACCCACAGTCCATCACCGAGATCCAGGATAAGGCAGTGGACAGAAGTTTGTCATATCTGTCCCTAGTGCCAGGAATGAGGTATTTGCCTGACAGAGGTGGCCACGGTGTTGCTTGGAATGTGCTGCCTAGGCTAAGGGTTATTTATGTGCAAGGCTGCTCTAACAGGGGGGTGTCTTCCAGGGTGGCAAGGAACACCTGGGAGTGTGCTCCTTAGTGATCCCCTACTTGTGTCTGGATTTACCCAGCACAGCTGAACCAATCTGTGCACAGGAGCTAACAGTGAGGCACGCTGGCTGGACAGTCGCATCTTGGCCAGTTTTCCTTACAGGGGCTATCAAAATATTAAACGCAAATCTACAATGTAGAGCAGAGTAGAATGTGCTGAACAGAGTTTCTGGCTTATGTAACGATTCTTATACTCTAACAGTAAGGAAGGTTCACATACAGTTTAATGTGTCCTTCATGAGAACACAAGTGTAGCCTAAAGCCAGTGAACATAAACTCAAGCTTTTAAAAAAAAAATTATTTTATTTTATGCTTATTGGTGTTTTGCCTGAATGTAAGATGCGCCACTTGAATGTATGGTGGCCTGAGAGGTCAGAAGAGGGCATCAGATCTCCTAGGACTAGAGTTACAGATGGCTGTGAGCTGCCATGTAGGTGCTGGGAATTGAACCTGGGTCCTCTGCAAGGGCAACCAGTGCCCTTAACCACCAAGTCATCTTTCCAGTTCCTCAACAGTCCTTTCACCAGCAACTCTTAGTCCAGCACTGCAATTCTAGTTTTCACTTTGTGGTTCCCATCTTCCCTTTGTGGAGTTAAAAGACACCTAGTCTCTGGAAAGTAATCCCTAAACAGCAGCCCTACCATCATGAAGTGTGAGGGGCCAACGGATGGGTGAGGGCAGTGGTTCTCTTTATTTTAGAAATGGGGGTGGCTGCAAATATGAAAAATGCCACAGAGTGACTTAAAGTGGGAAAACTTACAGAAAAAACAAACAAACAACTATTCCCTGCCCCCCACCCCATAGTCATCACTCACTGAGGTAAGGCTGTGCCATTTTCCCATGGCCTTTAAAAAAACAACAACAAAAACCCAACCCATCAGTTCCAGTGAAATCCTCTTGCCATCTCCCTGCTGTATGGAGGAGTCCCAGGTTCTGGCTCAGTCAGACTTTTCCTTCTCCTTCATGTGTAAGAAGACGATGCTGAAGATGAAGAGGCCAGCCATCATAGAGAAGGCACTGGCATAGTAGGGGTAAGCCGAGGGGATGAAGCGCTCATACTGTGTGTGCTGGAGTGGCCTCACTGACACCTGAAACAGGACAGAGGTAGCAGGCGCTAGTGTCTGGGAGGCCTAAGAAGGATACCTGCTGGCCAGAAACCGACTGCCCCTTGCTTACCTGGGTGGAGGAGTACAGGTGTGTGTAGCCTAGCCGGTTGTAATCCACTTTAAACTGGAACACACCATACACATCAGGCAGCTTGAACTGGACACTGTACTTGCCACCTGGGGAAGCAACAGCAGCACTCAGACCAGGAGGCTTCCCAGGGGAAGGGGACATGTGTCCTGAGGCAGCAGGTGGCTGCTCTGTGTGGCTTTCTCTGACTGGCGTCACACTTACCTTTCCTCTTCAAGAAGGTCCTCACAAAGGGGTCAATGCGCACGAACTCCAGCTGAATGTCGTCCCCATCAAAGGGGACCCACTTGCCATTGGAGAGTTGCTCGATCACAATGCTGTACTCCTGAGTTGAGGGGCTGGGTCAGCCGGGCATGCCAGCAGCTGGAGGTGGACCACACCCACAGGCACAACCGCCCTCAATTCCCACCCCACAGACACGGCAGGGACCCAGTCCTGCAGCCCATGGAAGCCCCTGGTGCCTGCAGTCACAGAGCACAGCTGACCACTCCTTAGCTGGGCCTGAGGTCCTTAACAGAGTCCCCGCCATCCTGCGTGTGCAGATCCTGACAGACATCTAGGCATTGACAAGTGACCCAGAAAGTCCAACCCAAAGTTCCACCTGCCATGTCACTTTTTTGGGAAGTCTGACTTCCCCGCCAGTTCAGTGGAGCTGAACTCTACAACTCCACCAGTTAACATTGGTGGCCAGCTCTGCATCTCTGCTGACTCTCATAGGTACAGAGTGAAGTAATATTCATCCTGGATACCCTGGAGCTAACTGATCCACCCAGTCTTACCACTAGGTCGGTGACAGTGTAGGCATTGGGTGGAGCCGTCTCGCCCACCCGATGATGGGACACAGGCCCCACTCGGAGGACGCCCTCCTCCTTGAACACCCAGCGGGAGAGGGCCACAGCTAGCTCATAGTTGCCTGTCTGAGAATACCTGGAAGAGGGAAAGGAGAGGCTGGGGCTGCAGCCCACTTCCTGCTGGGTTCCTAATGGAGACCACTCCTGTCTACCAGGCCACTGTACTCTAAGTGAGGTTCTGAAAGGAGGCTGCACACAGCTACTGGCCCGTGGGTAAAGGGAAAACACTCAATAGTGGAGGTTGCAGGTGGTATTGCTATGGGCCATCTGCACAATCCATCAATCCCAATCCATTTTGGTGCTGAAGACTGGACCGGCCCTATGCCCATCAGGTAAGTGCTCTAGCAGCCATATGATCTTTCTCAGAGGGTAGGTGGGAGGGCTCCACACAAGCCACTGCCACCCTGGTGAGCATGGGACACCAATGCCAGCAGCACTGCAACAAAGTCTGCAGATAATGGGATGTCCTGAAGACACACGCGTCAAAAGGTTCTCCTCCCGCTGCACACAGACCTCATATTCCAAGCTCTGGCATTACCTCTGGGCACCGGGTGTGGCTTTCTGTACTGCTGAGTTGAAGAAGGCATCGCTAAAGAAATCCAGGGAGCCACTGAAGATGACCCGGGCATTGTTCCTGGCCTGGAGGCCCGCAATCAGGAGAGTGTTCTTCCCCACTGCATGGGGGTACTGGGGACAGAAGGGGCAAGTCACCTGGGTATCACCAAAGTACCAGCAAAGCTACCACAGCAAGGGGACAACAGGCTGGACACCTACATAGCCATGTCCCCCTCCCATCTTAGGGATGGCCTAGTCCCCACTTCCATCATCTCTTCATTGGTCTCAACAAAGCCCACCTCTCCTGCTTTGCTCTGGTTTTCAAATTAAAAAGTGCTGCCACTGGGCCCAGGAGCTGGAGGCTGCAAAGGCTCTCACCTGGGTGATGGGCTTATCTGGGAAGAAGGAGTAGGAGGTTGAAGAACCCGTGAGGATGTCCAAAACCAGGGGATTATCAGGGTCAGCCACCATTCTGCAAGGGAGAGGAGAGAGAAGCCTAGCACTGAACACGAAGCAGCTGCAGGACACGGGGTCCCACACCATCTCCCCCAGGGAAAAGCTCTTCCCTTTCTTCCCAGAGAGAGGGGTCAGCTCTTCTCTTCCCTTTCTCATTCATTCATTCATTCATTCATTCATTCATCCATTCATTCATTATTCATTCATTCAATCAAAGACAGGGTCTCACTAGCCAGGCTGGCCTGGAGCCCCAATCCTCTGCTTCCGCCTCCTCAGTAAGGCATGCCCCACATGTCGCCAGGAAAGATCCTTCTCAATAGCCAGACACTTAGGGTTTCTCTAAAACTCACTGCTACTACCTGGGAGAATGAACATTCTTAACCCTAAATTTGGCTGAATGGTGGTGGCACACGCCTTTAATCCCAGCACCTGGGAGGCAGAGGCAGGTGGATCTGAATTCAAGGCCAGTACAGAGTGGGTTCCAGGATAGACAGAGCTACATAGAGAAACCCTGTCTCCAAAAACAAAACAAATAAAATTGGCTTAATGCCCACAAACAGAAAGTGAGCCCTGATCCTCCAGGTCCCCTTGATGTCCCCACTCACCCAACTCCTCGGAAGAGAATGGGGTTCAGAGATGACTTCCCAACAATGGTTGGGGCCTTCAGCAGGTTTTCAGTATCAGCCACGATGAGCGTATGCTGCAAAGGGGAAAGGGAAACAGGGTCAGGATGTGGTCTCTAAGCAAAGCTGAGCTTTGCTGTGTGTTCAGACAGCTGAAGGGACAAGCCTGATTACCTGGCCAAGGTCTGAGACATCGTAGTTGTGATGGTCAATGACAGCTGTTTTCTCTTCATCAAATTCAATCCCACACTCACTGCCCAGCTCCCGAAGAGGGTCACCTGCAAAGATCCA